CGACGCGGCGGTGAGCGAGTCCAGGCGCGCGGTCTGCAAGTGGCGGGCGTACGCGTGCTCGCGGAGCTGGAGCTGGGCGTCCGAGGGCGCGGCGGGCCGCGGGCCGCGGGCGGCGGGGGCCTTGGGCTTGCGGCCGCGGCGGAGCTTGAGCGGCGGCGGCGTTTCCAACGCGTGGCCGGAGTAGCCGGGCGTGGGCGGCGCCAACGCGGGCTCGACGAACAGCGGCGCGGCGCGGCGGGCCGCGGGCGCCAACTTGGGGATGTGCATGATGAGTGGCGGCTGGCGGGCGCGTCTCGGGGGGAGGCGGCGGGCGGCGGCGTTGCCAGGATCGGCAAACTCGTGGCCGGGATCTGCAAACGTGTTTCTGCTTCTTCCAGCGGTGTCGCTGGTTTTCCCAGAAGTGTCGCTGGCATTTCCAAAGTCGTCGCTGGTTTTCCCAGAAGTGTCTCTGGGATTTCCAAACTCGTCGCTAGGTTCCCCGGCGGTGTTTCTGCTTTTTCCAGCAGTGTTTCTCCTCTTTCCAACGGTGTTGCTGGTTCTTCCAGCAGTGTCTCTGGTCTTTCCAGACATGTCGCTGGGATCCCCAGACATGTCGCTGGGCTCGGCGGCGTCTCCCCGGCCCTTTCCGGATGGCCTCCCCTGCGGCCCGGCAGACTCCGGCCTACTCCATGAAGATCCCGTCCTCTCTCCTAAACCCCCACTCTCTCCTAAACCCCCACCCTCTCCTACACCCCCACCCTCTTCCAATCTCTCACTCTCTTTTAAAATGTCCAAATCCTCGCCTCTCGCTTCCATCCCCACCGCCGCACGGCGCCGGCTGTAGTCTCCGGCCCCGCCCAACAGCAGCTGCGTCTCCTGCCCCCCGTCTTTCCTCCGCCGTTTCGCCGTTTTCCGCGCCGCGGCCGCGCCGTCCAAATCCGGGCTGCTCTGGAGCGTTTCCGCCTCGCCCGGCCGCCCGGCCCGTGCCGGAAACGGCCCCGTGGCGCCAGGAATGGGCGGCTGGCGCCCCTGGTGGGCGCCGCCACGCCGCGTGCCGCCAGTAGCCGAAATCTGCAGCCCTGCAGCGGCGCCATGTGCTTTGCGCCGGGCCGCGGGCGTGCCCGTGTGTTTTTTGGGGCCCATGGTCCAGAGGTGTGCGTGGCAGATGGGGGTGAAAACGGTGGTTCTGGTGCCGGCGGGCGTTTTGGCGCAGAGGCGCGCGGGGCCTGGGGCCTGGGGCCTGGGGCCTGGGGCCTGGGGCCTGGGGCGCGGCCTGCGTTTCTTGGCCCGGGGCCGCAAAAAACGGGGGGCGCCGTGGGGATTTGTTGGTGGGGTTATTTTTGATTCATT